TATCCTTGGACAATTCTTTATTTAATTAAAAATACTTCACTAAGAAATACAACTTTTTTGTATATGAAGGACTTGTAATATTAACTGAAAGACTGCCAAATTTTGTGACGATATGCCCAATATATAGAAATTTATAAGTATTAAATTTATGTCAACTTTAAACAAGTACAGAAGGTCACGTGACTCAGTCCCAGGGACTGAACCTGTGTCGAAAGAGTTAAGAGGTTTTAGAGATTACACAAATAAATTTTATGATTTCTGAGATGAAGAAAAGTATTCTTAACTTTAACATGAAAATCACTTTGCACTCAGACCAGTAAAAAAAGAATCGATATACTCGACAACTAATTTTTTTATAATACAAATACTTCACTACAAAATCTGATTTTTTGTATTGTTTACTGAAAGTCTGCCAAATTTTGTGAAGATACACATAACTATATTAAAAGTTAATATTATCAAAACAACTTTAGATGAGTACAAAGTGGTCACGTGGTCAGTCAATTCAACCAAGTCCGTGTAGAAAAAGTTACAAGGAAACTCAACTTCACCAGTACATTGACACCATGACCACCAGAGCTACCAAAGGCATCAATACACTAAAAGTTCCAACTGGATATAGAGCGAAAACATCACTTGTTTATGCTTTACCAAAGGTATATACACTTCCTCTTGGATTATGCACTACCAATGATAAGTATGAGTGCTACATAGCTAAATAAAATTGAGAAAAAAACCATCTTTTTTAAGGTTGGTTACAGTATGTATTACAGTCACTCACATCAAGACTATAACACATCAAATGCTTCAGCAGCATTGCAGAGCATCAACAGAGTTTAAAAGCTAAATTCTTCACTAGGGACCCAGTAGTTTAAAAGAAACACTAATTCCATCACCAAGCCACTGCCTTTTTCAAGAGGGGCATTCCTGCTCCAAAATGATCCTACGGACATCAATCAAGCAGGGAATTGCCTAAAATGTTCCTCATAAGACAGTCATGGGTAGACAGGCACTATAAAGCCACCACCAGATCTCCAAGATTCATTACATGGAATAAATAACTGATACCACTAAAATCTGTCAAAACGAGCCTAGGCAGAAAATGTGAAAACTGGGTAGAGAGTGAAGAAAAAGCCTGTCAGCAGTTGTCATCTGTCATCATAGCCAGATGGTTCATACACCACAGATAGCGAGAGAGCTGATTGGGCAGTCATCTCGCAAAGCAACAACATCCTCATTAGGTTGGTGAAGCATCCAAGCTTCTGATAAGCAGCAAAAAGATGGAGCTGGAAGCCATAAAGCAAGCTCTCCTCTGAATTACTGAAGGCAGTAAACTGCAAACAGATAGTACCACCAACATAATATTTGTGACTGACTCATAGGGAATACTAAGTAAAATTCAGAGTGGTATCCTCAGATGGATAACAGAAAACAAAGCAACTGCATAATAAGAACATCATACCAAACTGATGAAATATTTACAATCTCGGTACTAGTAAGGCAAAAATGGCAACCATGGAAGGTTTTCATCAACTAAATATAAGTAAATAATAGGACAGTATATAGCCATAAGGTCATTGGCAACATCAATAAAATAACTCTTTACTACCTTCTGTGAGGTATCCAGCCACCAAATTAAGTGTTAGTGCACATTGGTGCAACATATCAGGAATCACCTAAAACTTAACTAAATGCTCTAGCATATTTACATAAATGCTAATTTTTTAACATCTATATTATGTACAGAAGTTAAATGATTTTTAACATTCTTGTAGTTTACTGGTACCTTACTGCTGTTCAACTTTATGTACCTTATTGTTAATTACTGAAATGTCACAAATTCATAACTTCTTTTTATTACAAGTATTTAGTAACATTCCACAGTTATTCCTGTGTAAAAAGTAACGACCCATTAGTATATTGATATCAATGGGTAAAAATGACCCCAATCAATCATAAGCAAAATGGAAGGTCTTAAAGGTTTTAGAATAGATATAGTCATAGCTAAGAGCAGTACTTTCAACATATTTCTTTAAAATAAATAAAATTTAAGAATTTGTTTCCAACTTCTAAAGAATACCACACTTCTCACATTCAATTACATGATGAAAATTTAACTTTCACAAAAAAAAAACATGTAACTGCTCACCTGCTAAATGCTGACCAAATATAGTTACAGGACCTGACCCTTCTACTAAACTGAATTTGGCTTCATTGTGTGTTACTAAAAGGTCAATTGAGCACTGTAAAAACAAGAATTTTGGAATTAACAAATTATCTATATTTAAAAAACACAAAAACCGAAAATTAAATTAATGCAACACTTTAAAATCTAGCAAAATTACCTTGCATATTTTTTTCACCCAAGAAATTCTTTTACACTAAGTTATAACAAACAATTCTTTCAATTATGAATTCATTTTAGAAAACTCAAGCTTTTTATCACTATAAACTATACAGCTATGACAAACCTGATCAAACTTCTTATCATTGGTTGCCTGAAGACAACAAAGTGTGGTTTTAATTTCATCATCAAGGTAACCTTCTGTTTCTATTTCTATGACATTTAATTCTTGAGAATCTTTGCATGGACCTAACAGAACCTGAAATTTTACAGAAACAATTCTTAAACTTTGTTATATATGTTGAATGTAAAACAGAATGCACACACCTGTTAAATATTTATTGCAAACAGATCTGCAAAAATATACTGAACTATTAATTTAATTGAAACACTTACTCTATATAAAATGAGAATTTGTTTTTATCTGGATATATCTGGTAAGATCCAATTTAAAAATTTCAAATTAATGCAAAAAATCTGTAGTGTAAAAAGCAAAAAAAGGCTCCTGACCAAAAAAACATTTTAATGCCTGTGTGTTTGGCATACCCTCCCTTTGTATGACAGTGTGCAAATCATCAAGTATTTATGATTATATTACAAGAAATATTTAAAATAAATTTATTTTAAGCTATTTCAAAATAAGCCATCTAAATTAAAATTTCATCAGTTAACGGAAGAGTACAATTCTTGACTGAACAAATGCATCATATCTCACGTGAGCTATCATATTTGTGTTTCATATGCCATACTTTCTCTCAAGATTTACATTTTAGATGGACATTAAACAAAATTAATTTGTACAGGCCTAAATAATAATTATCAGTGGATTAAAAGCAACAATTTATTTATACAATTTGAACATATAAAGAATCTTGCCTTTATCTGAAAGTAATAACAAAGCTTTGAGTAAAACCTATGAGATATATTTTTTTTAAGTATGACCATTTCCTAAATGTTCAGGTTTTGGGTCCTAAGTGTCTTTTTAATACTACAAAATTCATGAATAAGTACACCTACATTATAAGTATATACAACAACATGTTAATTAACCTAAAGACAATGTATTTTAACAGTCTCACAGCACAAGACTTGCATTAAATAATATGGTTTAATAATATATTTTTGTAATTTCTGTACTTAATGTAGTTATAATTTTTTTTTAATTCTATGTAGTAAAGAAAAATTTCATAAATGCTACAGTATCTGGGATTAAATCAGACAAAGAAAATCTAAAATACCATTTAATTACCTTTTTCACAAGTAGACTATGACTAATGATTGCATCTGTTTCTCCTTCTTCCAATGGATTGAAGACTACCACTTTTGTGTTCTTGTCTAACTTTCCCACTGAATAAGAAAAGTTCAACTACTAGAATTAGTCAAGCAAGTACTTCTACAAAATCAATGGAAAGAAAAAAAAATAAACTAAAAAAACCCTAAAGACAGTGGATACATTCTTACACACATTCAACTTCTTTAAGAAACTATCATTGCTCTACTCAACAATAAAGTTACAGCTTATTTTTTTAAATAATGACAGGAATGAGTGTGTGTGGGGGGGGGGGGAGATATAGTAATACTTAATATTACACATTTCTCAATAATCCCGATTACCTAAAAAGTGATTATATAGCTCAATAATGAAATTATGACAATAAAAACGTATATGAAATTTAATAATTAATCACTGTTTACTATTCTCTAGTTAAAAATAAATGCACCCACAACCAAAGTCATATATTTCCACAAGGGTTTTGAAGGAGGTTGAAGATTGGACATGTAAGCCACTTGCTACTATATTTTGTCTGTCCTTGAATAGCGGGCAGATACCAGAGGATTGGAAGTTGGTTTATGTGACTTCTATTTTCAAGGGAGGTGATAAAAATTGTCCCAGTAATTATAAACCCATTAGTCTTGCATCATTTGTGGGAAAAGTTTTGAAAAGTCTGATAAAAGATGCTTTGCAAAGTCATTTAACAAAGTTTAGAAATTTTTTGGATAGTCAACACGGTTTCACCGAGGGAAAATCTTGCCTTACAAATCTTTTGACATTCTTGGAAAATATTACTGCTTATGTAGATGAGGGTAAGAGTAGATTTGGTGTATCATGCCACATAAAAGGCCCGTAAAAAAAAATTCTCTATAGTTGTGGGGGATAAATTAGCAAATTGGATAGAAGAAAGCAGTGGGTTGTTACAAATGGAGTTCAATCAGACTGGATTCATGTCATAAGTGGGAAACCTCAGGGCTCAGTCTTAGGACCTCTGCTCATTTTGATCAAAGAATGGTCAATAAATTATTCAAATTTGCAGATGATATTAAGGCCCTGAGTGTTGCTAGCTATGAAAAGGATGCTGCTGATTTACAAAAGGATTTAGATCATTTAGTGAGTTGGGCAAATAAGTGGCAAATGGGTTTCAATTTCAATAAATGCAAGATAATGCATGTGGGTTATCATAATTTCAATTATAAATATAATTTGGATGGGAATAACCTTAACAGTGTCATGAAAGAAAGGGATCTTGGTGTAATAGTTGATCAGTCTCAAGCCATCCAAGCAGTGTGCTGTTGCTAGTGGTAGGGCAAATAGGATTTTAGGTTGTATCTACAGAAATATTGAATACAAGTCTAAAGAGGTTATAATTTCATTGTATAGGTCACATTTGGAATATTTGTTCAGTCTTGGGCTCCTTACCTTAGGAAGGACATTGAATTGTTGGAAATGGTTCAGAGAAGAGATATTAGAATGATGCCTGGGATGAAGTGGTTGTCACACAAGAAGATGTTGAAATCTCTCAAATTCTCTCTTGAAAAAAGAAGAGTTGGGGAGAGGGATCTGATTGAGGTGTTTAAGATTGTAAAGGGAATTGATAGTGTTAATGGATCATCTTTTTTCATACTTAAAAATATGAGTAATAGGACAAGGATCCACAAATAAATTTTGGCAAGGTAGGAGTCATCTTCAGCTAAGATAGCTTTATTTTTCCAACAGGGTGGTTGGCCTTTGGAATGGGTTGCCTTCAGATGTTGTGGAGGCAGTAAATTTAAGTGAGTTTAAGAAAAGGCTTGATAAGTATATGAATGATAAGGGCTGGCTTTAAGATTTTTTTTCTTTTTAATTATTTTAATTTAGTTTAGAGGATGGAACAGCCGAAATGGACCAATAGGTCCCACATTGTCCTAACACATTATTATTCTGCTGTAAAGGAGCTTAAAAACAATTGGGTTGATTTGAATCACAAAAAAGAATTCTATAGCATGAACTATGAATAAAAACGCCTATTTTGGTTCAAATTTTGGATCAGTGGGAAAAACTATGCATGATAGTGGGAAGTAAAGACTAAATATGGGTGACATTGGCCAAATACAAGACTGGTATGTCTGCATTTGTGAAATAATTTGTCAGTTATGTATCGCATTTGCCTAATTACTAGAAAAGCAATATATCTTAACATCAACAACTTTACAAGATCATTAAATTTACAAGACATTCAAAGCTGTTTGATTGCCATGATAAATTTAGTGGACATGCACAAACAAAGTTTAACAAACTGTGTCAAGTGAGGATTTATAACAGTTTATTAGAATTATTATGAGCAACTACATGGTAAAACCTACTGAGACAGATATTTCATGTTTTTAGAATTTAACATTAGAACAATAGAGCCATTTGGTCCCCTAAAGGCTGTCTCTGCACACCTACCCAGTTATTCTTTTAATTTATTTTCTGAACTGAAGGCACCAAGTAAATACTATTTGTGATTTTTTGTTAGAAATACAACCAGAAAACAAAAGTTACCTACAAGTTAAAATTTAAATTGTTTCATTAGTTTAAACTATCTTATCTGCACTAATGCTAAATACTGGTATCAGTTGATATTGGTGGGAAATCATCATCTCCAACCATACTGGTCAAGAAAATATTAATCAGTGCACCCATAATGATTAGTGTCATGTACAAAAATCCATTAATTATAATTTCAACAATAGTAACTAAAATATTGCCAGTATGATTTCTCTATTACTTTTGAATAATTCAATGTTGTTAAACTTAAATGATTAGTGTAACAACTAATGAAAATAATCACATCAAAATTAGTGTTTCTGTTTATTACTAGATTATTCCAATTATCCAAGTCTAATATTAGGATAATCTATTAATGAGCCCAATGAAAACCTGAAGACAAAAGGCAGAAGACTTTTGAAACTTGTTTCTACAACAGGCAGTTGCCATCCATTCAATAAAGTTTCATCACAATAATCTCTATATAAATCACAAGTTACACCTCACTTGGAATATTTTATTCAGTTTTGGTCTCCTTATCTAAGAAAGAATTCATAGGATGGATGCTATGATGATTCCAGTGATGGAAGAATTAATCTTACAAGGATAGGTTAAAATCTCAACTTGCAGGGTAAGAAATGATTTTATTGAAGTTTACAAAATTATTTTGTGGATCAATAGGATTAAAGCCATCAAAATCTTTCTGCAAAATTCAAGATAAGGTGAAAGGACATGTTTAAGAATTGGAAAAGAAGAATTTTATTTTTCTAACATAGCAATTGACTTATGGAAGTAGTTGCAGTAAACAGTAGTAGAGACTATCATTTTACAAGAGTTTAAGAGGAATTGATGATTTCCTAAAATTAAGGATAAGTATTGGTCAAGATGCTATTTAGAATAATATCAGATTGCATGAACAACTATTAAATTCAGTTTTATACATTTCATTTACAATGACAAATCAGAATTAGAGTAAGGATTAATAACATAATATTACTGATTTTTTAACACAAATTATGTATTAGTATTTATTTTTATCTGAATTAATTTCACAAAAGAATAGAGTCCAATAACACAATCTTCCTTTTTTTGAAGTCAAGTAACATTTTTGAAAAACATACTGCTTAAGAACTAGAGTTGAGAAATTTAATTACATATGAGCAGTGATTACATTAATTATTGTCAAAGTAATCAATTAATCAAAATTACAATTAAAATGCTGTCACAAAAACAATCCAAGTTAGGGTTTCTGATTAATACTATTTTTTTTGTTTATTCCCACTGTCAAAGTAATCGAGATATTGCCAAACTTACTCATCCTATCTTTGTTATGGCAAGAAAGCTAAGATTAACTACCACTATCATAAATTTTAAACTGCTCACTAGAGACGGCAAGTGTGTGGCTGGCACCCACCATCAACCTTTTTTGGTTGTTGTTGAACTGCTGACTAAAGGGTAGGCAATTAGCCAGCAGCACCCATCCTCAAAATTTTTTTTGGAACTATTCACTAAAGGGAAAGTAACTGTGTGACAGCACCCACCACCAACCTTTTTGTTTCTTTGCACATACCAATGTGTGAGGAACACTGTACTAATTGAATGTCATCTATTTATGGAGCTGTCAACAAATCAATTAGCAAATACAGCTAATCACCCAGCTCCATTAAAAACAGAAGAAATGGAAATGAAAACATAGCTATATCATCTACTACAATTTCAAGCTGAACAATACAAAAAGAAAATTGTTATAACTCAACTAACTATAACCTGACCAAAAACCAAGAATGGCTCAGAACAATGGTTCCAATACTTTTCCAACCGAGGACCAGCTATTTCTGATTCCAAAATTTCAAGGACTTCCTTGTACAATATTAATTTTAAAATACACTATTATATGATATAGCAGTCAAATTACTTTGAATTTTAACTTTACTATCCATTTCACACTTCTGCTGACTTTCTATGAACCGTCACACATTTTGTAACTTTTAGTAACCTAAAAAAATATCAGTTATACACTAAAGTTTTAAAATATTTTGATTTTATTTTACAGCAATTAAATAAAGTCAAGTCATTCACACCAATATACAATATTAACATATTTTAGTGAAGTTCTTTGGGTATTGTTTTTTTTTTTTTAAGTGGAATGAAATGTTATTGTTTTTTGAGGGTGGATGGTACTTTGGAATTTCAGGAAGATTTTTTTATGCACATCATGAAACAAATTACATAAAAATGCTTTTAAGGAAAAACCTACTGTCTTTACATTGTGAGGAAGATTGATAATGAGAATTACAGATATACTAACTAAGTATGAAAGGAAGCACACAAGATACAGTTAGTAAAAGTAAGTTATTAAAGAAAAGCAACTTGTAACTAAAATTTGCTTTTAAGGATATATGTGCTAGGGAATATGCAAAAGGAGTAATATGTTTAAGAATCTCCAATTTGTCTTGTAATAAAGACACACACACAATATGCCAAGTACACAAGTCCAAGCTTGTGTTAAATGTAGTTCACACTAATGTTCCAAGCCACAACACAGTTAGAATGCCTATTTTACAGCACATCAAGAAAAACAGTTAAATAGAAAGACAAGTGAGTAACCAACTAAAGCACATGAAATTTGGATCTGCCATGACTTTATTTTAACAGACATTAACATATATCATGTCACACAGGAGAGGCTGAAATCTCTCAAATTGTTTTCTCTTGAAAAAAGAAGGTTGGGGGGGGGGGTCTAATTGAGGTGTTTAAGATTGTA